ACAATGGGGCGCGGGGGGGGGGGGGGGGGGGGGAGATTTCGCTAAACCATCCCCATCCCCATTTCCAAGTAACAAATACGTACCTGCCCATATTCCTGTAGGGGAGGATTTGCAACCTCATTCCCGTACCCACAGTTTTCAGAGACCAGTGGGTAATACCCACCTCGTATATCCAATATTACTATACTTCGAATTCAACATGCAGATCTTCGATTATAACACTAAACAGACCTAATTAGTCATGAAATCAACAAAGGTCACTCTTAGTATACATGTTCCACCACCATGGTGTGGTACAAGTCTTGTACTTGGAAGAGCTGTATCATCATGTACTAGAGAGAGGGACAATGACGGATCGATAAACTTTATAGAAGTGTGTCATCTTCTAAAAATTAAATTTAATTAAAAATTAAAAAATATGAAAATATACGCCTAATAAAAGATACATTAAAAGTTCACGACGTGTTTCGTATTGAAAAAAATAGTAAAATACATTAGATATCTATATTGATTGATAACTCGACAGTTGCACATATTTTCCCCCACCATTCTTACACTGTTTGAGGCTCGATTCTCGTATTTTAGGCCGATTTCACGCTAGGTTGTTCTTGTATGTCGTATTTCAGGTCTTGGATCGGCTGTGCATGCTTGAAGGTGAGTTTCGGTTCAAAATCACCAAGTGGACGAAAGGCGGAGCTCGAGGATTGAATTTCTCGGTCAGCTCATCTAATCCCCGAATGGGGAATTGCAATGGAGTACGCGGAATTCATCCAAGAATTTTCCCCGGTTGTGACCCCTTAATCCCCGATTGGGGAATCTTACCCGAGACCGGGAAATTATGCTTCAACGAATAATCGTTGCACACCGTTTTGGGAGAAACCCGACCTGACATCCAAAAACCCGATCGTGGAATCAGGCCGAGGATTGGGAAGTCGGGTTTAACGATATGGAAATGGGAGATTGAGATACCATTCGATTTTTGGAGCTGAAAACAGAGGTTTAGAGAGAGAAAGTGACGAAGCGAGACCCTTAGGTGCCATAGATCAAGTTTTCCGACCATTGGAGCTCAATTCAAGCCTTGAGGAGTGACGATTGACGACGCAGAGCAGATTTCTTCTGTCTACACAATGATTTCTACTCCATAGATGATTGATTGAATTATATCCAATTGAAGTATTTATTCATAATTGCTTGAGTCTTGATCAAATTCTAGTGATTCCTGCTTGGCCTAGAAAGATAAGCTCCGCATAGGTTAATAGAACATCTTAAATTGGAGATAGTGAATCAACGACTTTAATCGAGAAGTCTATTAACTTGACTTGGGTGAATTACAACTTGGCCTAACTACGATCTAGGGGGACTCATACCTGAGTGAGCCTTCTTAATCTGCATACAACCGTTACTTGCTTTCTGTTTTCTTTTACTTTTAATTTTCTTCACTCAACTTTTACTGCTAGATAATAGAGATTCGCGGAGTAGACAGTACATCTAGGATCCGAGTTGACAAGTAAAACTGAACCCACTTTACTGCATTTCCGAACTGTGATTACACTTGGTTGTAGTTTGGTGTTGTGTTTTAGCGAGTCACTGATCAACAAATGTCTCTCGATGCTATCACTTAAATATTTCTTTACCCATACACAAACTACTATCAGATGCTATATAATTGTTTCTCCAAATTTTAGGAGTGTCCAACCTCCATGGATACGTCACTAGAGAGGGGTTGGAGAAAATAACCAACGAGGACATAACACAAAGTAGGGCTGAAAAAATAGACCGGATTGCTTGAAAAATCATGAACCAAACCGAACTGCACATTTTTTGTTCGAATCATAGATCTTTAATAGTGGTTTGGTTTGATCCATGGTCTGTATTATGAGATGTTTGATTTATTGGTATGGTCTGTTCAGATCGTGGTTTATCAGACCATATCATGGACTTAACCGACTTCCCAATTAGTATTAGTAACCGGCTCAACCGCTCTTCCCACTCCCCAACGAGACTCCTGTCTCAATCCTAATTTTACAAATATCGTACCCTCCTTCTTTCACAAATCACACTCCGGTAGACCGTAGAGACGATCACGTCCCCATATAATATTATGGTAATGTTGATTACATTATAGTGGAAGTTAAGTTGCTAATCTTTGTTTTTTTTTTTATTTACATGGATTTTGAGAATCAAAAGTATCCATGCTTGTTGGAATTCAAGTTCTAAAAAAGGGCATATTTTTCTCGGTTATTGGTTTGATTTTTGGTGTGCTAACCAAACAAAATGGTAGTATAATTTGTTGCTCAATATGGTGTGCCTATGAACAATATCCAGCTAGATTACACAAGCATGATTAGATTTGGACCGTATATAATTGGGTATAGTACACGCTCTGTACTCCAATTCCTCGATCTGGGAAACACATCATTTTCCAACCTTAACACAAACTGATAAACAAAAACACACATCGTTATTGGCTTCAAGAAAAATCATCTTCTAATTTTACCTCGAATAAATTTTGAAAACAAAAAATCCTAATTATATTGAGTAGGCTTCGAATCACCAATTATATTTAGCTTTGTTGCTAACGGTAGGAGATGAGGTTGTCACTTTCCTTGTGTCCCATATCTCTCCACGTGGAATTGGTTAAAAGGCCATGGTTACGAAGGGCCACATATATATAGATGTTGACACCTAAAATTAATTTGGCCTGAATTAAATGCCGCATTAATTAGTCTCGGCATTTAATTCGATACCGCGGGTAAAAAACGGTGTCGTTTGGAGTCGAGCGGTATCGCGGGAAGTTAAAACGATACCGCAAAACAAGAAAACGCTACCGCAAGGAAGCTCATCGGTATCGCGGCACTGGAAACGACATTGTTTACCAGAAAACAGGACGTGGACCGCGTGTGTAGCATTGGTGTTGGAAAAGAAGTATTTTATTTTATTTTATTTATTCCTTGTCGGAAGGGGAGAAGCGATACCGCGTGGAGTCGAACGGTGTCGCGGAGAGTTAAAACGATACCGCGAAACAGAAAAGCGGTACCGCAAGCAAGCTCAGCGGTACCGCGACACAGAAAACGACACCGCCGGAAGGGGCCGCGTGTTTAGTGTGGGTATTGGAGAAGGAATTTTCTCTAATTAATAATTATTATTTTCATTCCTTGTTGGATGGGGAGAAGCGGCACCGCGGAGAGCTAAAACGGTGCCGCGGAATTAAAAACGGTACCGCTATACTAGCAAACGACAGTGGTTAAAATAAAAAACAAACGGAGCCGTTTTGGCGCTAATGATGTCGTTGGCCAATACACGAGTTGGACTAGTGATGGCCAGATTAATTAATTAATATTTTTAATGACTTTTTAGCACGGTGTCGTTTAGTTGAAAGCGATGCCGCAAGAGGAAGAAACGACACCGCGGATTTAAAAACGATGCCGCGAGTGGGCCAAACGATGCCGCGGTAGTTAAAATGACAGTGTTAAATTTAAAGCGGCATCGCAAAGTTAAACAGCATCGCAGCAATAGAAAACGATGTTGTTTAATTAAGAACGGCGCCGCGAAGTGAGAGTTTGACGGCGTGTCAACAATGATGGCCGGTTTAATTAATTAATATTTTAAGGATCAGTCTAGACGGTGTCGCTTTAGCCGAAAATGACATCGTGGGAGATATCAACACCGTCGCGGTACTGAAACGATGTTGTTTAATAGAAAACAACGTCGCAATGGGGAGAGTTCAGCAATGGTGGATTTTGGATCTGTGTCGTTTTGGCCAAGTTGCCGTGTGTCCAATCGGTTTTGCACTCGTGGGAGTTACGCAACAAGGAGGAAGTTACCTGCACAATTGACAGGAATGAAGATGTGGGAGCCAAAGGCGCGAAGGCAGTTACTACGACTGTGGAGAGAAGAGCGAAGTATAAAGATTGGGAAGAGAGAGAAGTTCAAGGACGGCAAAATCAAATCACAACTGCACCATCCCAGAATTTATCTTTTTCTCTCTAGTTTTCGTAGAACCGCTCTGTCAAAGACCTCCTTTGCAGAGTCGTAGTCGTAGCTTGTAGTCGTAGTCGCGGAGCTCTCCAGAGGAACCTCCATAGGAGTAGAGGTAACGTAACTTAGAACACTCTCGGTTTGGTTTCTCGTTTCTCGTTGAACACCCTCGTTCGAACGTAGTTTGGAGAGGTGGTGAACCGAGTAACGGTTGTTTGATTAGAAGTCAAAGGTGCATCGATCAAATCAACGACGCCAACACCGGCGGCGGATATTTGTCGGTCGTCTTTGTTTCTGTTTGGTCGATCAAATCAACGACGCCGACATTCGGCGGCGGATATTTGACGATTTTTGCTGATTTTGTGTTTGTGCTTCATTGAATACAGTGCGCATTGAACACGCGAGTTTCGCCAACGAAACAATAGATTAAGGGGCAAGGGGCAGGTTTGTTTAAGAAAAAACGGCTAAATTACACATTTGGTCACTCAAATTATACAAAATTTTCACGTTTGCCACCCGAATTACTTTTCTTTCTTATTCGCCACTAACTTTACGAATCTTTTCACCGTTGGTCACCAGCCGTTACACTCTGTTTAATTTGTCCTATGTGGCAGTCAACTATAAAGTTTGACCGTTAAATAGATGACATGGAATTTAAAAAAAATTAAAAATAAATTTATTTTTCCAGCTCATTATTCCACTTACTGATCATATTAATTATTATTTTATAAAATAATAAGTGGTTGCGGCTGCTCGTTAAATCTGTATCCCATAAACGGTTGTGGCGGCGGAGGAGGAGCGGTTTCAGCTCCGACGGCGAAGCACTGCTTCTACACTAGCGGCTGAAATTTCAAAGCAGCAGAGGATGAAACCGTAGCTACTCCTTCTTCCTCTACTTCCCTTCCCAAGCCGACTGCGATTGAAGGAATTTAAAGGCGGTGGAGAAATTCAACTGGGCCTTGTCGCCGCGGATCCGTTGGCGCGCGGTGTCGTCGTAAGCTAGAGCGGCTACCTCCGCGGCACTATTGATTCCCAGCCATACTTTGACGCCTTTGTAGGGATCTCTGATCTCCGCTGCTCATTTTCCCCATGGTCGCTGCATTATGCCCCTGTACACATTCTTCCGACCTCTTTGTCGCCCGCCAGGATTTTTTTTATCATCATTGTTATGACTATTCGTTTTAGTGCTACTCTTTACCTCGTCATCCGCCGATGCGCCCGCAATCAATTGAAGAAAGGGACCAAATATCACCGCCAATCACAAGGGAAAGAGGAAGAAATTAAAATGCCTAAAAAGATAGCGGAGTTGATTGATTATTATTTTGCCTGGATAATTAATGGGTTTACTATCATTGTTGCCGTCGGAGAAGCCGAAACAGAGGAAGTCGGAGAGTTTGTTGAGCTCCGACCAGAGCTCTTTGGCCTTTAACCGCCGACCGCTCTTCTCGTAGCAGAGGAGATTGTCTTGGGGCTGATAATTAATTTTTGTATTTAATAAATCTTTATAAAATAATTACTATGATAAATCATATAGATAAAAGTAGGTGGAATGATGAATTGGAAAAATAATTTTATTTTTTTAGTTTTTTAATTTCCACGTCATCTAGTTAACAGTCAAACTTTACAGTTGACTGCCACATAGGATAAATTTAACGGAGTGTAACGGCCGGTGACTAACGGTGAAATGATTCCTAAAGTTAGTGGCGAATAAGAAAGAAAAGTAATTCGGGTGGCAAACGTGAAAAATTTGTATAATTTGAGTGACCAAACGTGTAATTTAGCCAAGAAAAAACAAAGTGTTTGTGCAATATTAGACAACATTACTTTATCATTAATTTGTACTTATGTGCACATTGCATTTATCATTAACTTATATTAGCAGAATGCAAAACTTAATTAACTTTGGTTAGGGTGAGTACGGGTGTTTGTCCTAGATTCCACTCGAACCCACTTATTATGTCATGTGTGATTTTCTATAGGTAGATATGAGTTCCAACATAAGTAACCTGCTAATTATAAATTATAAAACATATCAAAACTTGCAAATAAGTACTTGGTCTAGTGTTAAATATCACTGGTCTTGAACCTAGAGATCCTAGATTTAAATTCCTTCAATAACACCTAATTATCAAATTAATCTATATCATCCTTATATAATAAAAAAGCGTATACAGTATTATTCAAATTACGTAGATCAAATTGAATGAATTTTTTAGTGGACAGGTTGAGTTGAATTGTGTTGATGGATAGAATTTATTAGATTGCCACGGCATGAAATCTAACAAAGTCAGCCTGAAAAATGTATATACATACAACAATTGACATGCTAAAGTAAAACATGGACGGCCAAAGGAGATATATGTTGGTTGTTTTAGTCAGCACAGGAGGTGGTTGGAATAATAACGTGTTGGGATGTTACGGCAGTTGGGGAACTAATATTCCAAATGTATCACAACTAAGCAACAGTAGTTCTGATTTCTGAATGAAGAACACTCCTGAATTGGTCTCCAGTTTCCCTACGATTAATTGATCAAGTTCTCGACCGGCCGCCTTCTTCAGTTTTGTAAACTAATGTGTCGTTTGTGTGGCCATTCTTGTCCGTGGAATATTCGTCGTCTTCTTCTTCTACTCTTTGAATAACACAGAATAGACCATCTTCTTCGATCTGCCACTTGGAACCCTCCCCTACTGGCTGTTGTCTACTACATACGTATTAACGGTCTACTATATTGCAAACTAAATTATTTCTGTACTTGTATAAAAGATTTATGGTGTAATCTATATATAGGTCGCTACTTCGTTTGCACTCGCTTTTTTTGGTGCATTTAATGTATCAAATTCTAAAAGTGACAACAATATATAAAATTTTGAATTTTAATTGATAGCATTAGTCTAATATGATGATTTAACATAGTTTTACAAATAATCAATCCATTACCCTAACCCTTTAACCTTCAGATTTGAATCTCAACCCAAAACCCCAAATTGTAAACCTAAACCCTAAGCCTAAATTCCTAAATCATTCAAATTAAAGTAAATCTTGAAATATTTTTGTACAAATTCATGTGTTTTCTTGTCCATCATTCCACAAGTGACGATTGACATCATTTTTACATGAATTGCCTGATTATGAGCGAGTGCATAGAATGCACACAAAAAAGTGACTGCACTAAAAACCAAAGCGCATATATATTGTATTCTATAGTAAATTGAGTAAAATCAAAGGTACTGCACACTTTTGGTAAGAAAATGCTATCTAGAACTCAAATTAACAAGAATTTGTCGTTTGATACTATACTCTAATCCTTCACGAGTGGACTCTTGTTCTTAATTATCCAAATCATAGAGTTTAAACACTAAGATGGTGAATATAATTTTTGGATGTATTTCGACGAATTGTGACCGTCAATCATTGTTTCTAAATAAATGATCTTAGTGTGAGAGATTTATAGAATTAAAACCTAGATTTTAATCTTTAACAATTAGGATACAATACCATGTCCCAAACGCCGATCAATTCACAATGTAGATATCATTTTTCTATTTAGGATATGTATTACCTTTGATTTTACTCAAGGTACGATAAAATTTATATATATATGGTGACTACTTCGGTGCACTCACAAAAATGAGTGCATTCAATGCACCCAACTCAAAAACTAGTCTTAAAGTGTTGGATTTTGAATTTTAATTTATTAAATTAGTCTAATATGATGATATAACATATGATAACAACTAATTAGCGGATTACCCTAAGCCCTAGACCTCCAATTTTGAGTTCTATTCCTAAATCTCAAATTATAAATCCTAACCCTAACCCTAAATCTCTAAACTCTAAGTCCTTCAAATTAAAGTAAATATTTAATATTTTTTGTGCAAATTTATGTGCGTTATTGTTCATCACATCATAAGTGATAATTGACATCATTTTGACATAAAGCGCATGTTTAAATGACGGTTACGAAGCGAGTGCACTGAATGCACCAAAAAAAAGTGAGTGCATTGAAGACGTCACCATATATATATACCGAGTTCTACGGCACCCAGGGTGAAATCTGGGGTACCGCATACCTTGAGTATGAAAACGCTATCCAGAACTTGAATTGACTAAACTATCCAGAACTTGAATTGACTAATCTTTCAGACATGATACTATACTCTAACCCTTAAAGATCAAAATCTAGGTCTTAATTCTCTAAATCTTATACCCAAGATCAATTTAATTAGAAACAATAATCGACGGTTATGATTCGTCCAAATATAGCTAGGCAAAAAAATCAATGCACCATCTTAGGGTTTATAGTTTATGATTTAGATAATTAAGACATAGGGTTCACTCATTAAGGGTAAGGGTATAATATCATGCCCACAAATCCTGCTAATTCGAGGTCTAGATAGCGTTTTCATACTCAAGGTATGCGGTACCCCGGATTTCACCCGGGGTACCGTAGAAGGCACCAGACTGGCGTACGTCAGCCATATACTATACGCCAGGTACTACTAGTGAGATATCTCTATCTAGCCATGAATTAAATCGAGTTTGGGGTATGATACTATACCCTAACCTCTAATGGATAAACCCCAGGCACCGATTTTCTAAACTCCAACCCGAAGTTTGATTTAATGAAAAAAAAGTTTATTTGTTATTTTCTTAGAATGATACTTCATTTTAATTGTTAAAGCCTGCATCTTAAATTGCTGAATAATATATCATATGTAACAATCATGAATATCAAGATCAATGATCAGTAAGTAGATGTTGATTAGTAGATCACTGTCATTGAGCATGAAATAAAAATCTCTGGAGACGATTTAATCAACAAATTCAACGAAAGAAATAGACTCGTCTCCTTAAGTTATTACTTTACTTAATATATATAGCAATTTATTTTTGGTTTTTTTATTTATTTTTGACTTGTAATAGTGAATTGAATCAATTAATTTCAGAGTTCAATTTGATTTATGAAAGACACTTCAATGACTTCATTGAATGACCAAACAAATCATCAAACGAAGGGAAATATTTATGGAAGAAAAAAAAAAACCCAACCATACTCACATATGAACTGGTTTGACAATTGGGTAACTGATGACACAGGTTTATCATATTCTTTTTAGTAACTATTTTGATGCATTCTTAGTCATTTCACTACACTACGGGTTTGACTCTCTAATTGTTCATCTATGCAATTTACAGCCTCCAATAATATTTTGTACATTTTCCAAGCTCGGCTCGGCACACTAGAGAAGGAGAGAAGGAAGGATCGATGACAGAAGAAGCAACGACTTAATTACGAGTCAACAAACTCGTGGCGGGTTCAGAATCGTCATGGGCTGTACTCTGTAGAGAAGCCCAGATGCTATTTCAGCCTTCAAGCCCATATTCTATAAGGAAGGAGAGGACATGGGCTTGATTTATGAAAAGACTCAACCTTACATACCTTGATTTTTTTGTTTGGCAACCACAGGAAGGAGAAGGAGAGGACAACTCCATCTCCATATCTTGAAGACGACGCACCACCACAGTTTTATCTTTAATCTTGTGATCATGTGTGTTTCCTTCAATATAAGTGGTTAGAACACCTTTGTTGATTAGACTAGTGGAACTTAGCTTGGTTCTCGGATTGCATATTATGATTCATTCAAGTTAAAACGACCAACTGCTAAAGTTTTCTGCAAAAATACATATATTTTCCCCATTGGTGACTTTCCAAGAAGTTTCCTGGCAATGGCATCCATGGTTGCTCTGAAGTTGGGGCCCCTCTCTCCCCCCATAAACTTGTGTAGACGAGCCTAGCCTGAGCAATAGTGACACTGTGACAGAGAAAACAGTGGAGACGCAAGCTATACTTGTTTGTTTCTCTGAAATGGCTAAAACGAATCTTACCCCGAAAAAACCCCTGAAACTGAAATGGCACTTTTGCTGGAAACAGCAATGGTCACTTCTTTCCTCCCCTATGTTAACATCTCGCTTCACACTTCTTGTTCCAATCCCAGCTCTCTCTCTCTCTCTCGCTCTTCACTCTGTTTTCCTTTTCTCACTCAAAAACCACACCCTTCAGGATGGCGGAGGAGGGCGGTGGGCGGGAGATCCGGCCGATCGTCGGGAACCCTTACTTCCACTTCGTCGTCACGGAAGGGGCGAAGAGAGCAGTGGTGGTCCCCAAGAAAATCTCCGACCTGCTCCCCTGCTCCGCCGTGCAGGCCTCGGTGGCCTGCTGCGGGAAATGGTGGCGGATGACGTACCAGGGCAACTGGTACTTCAAGCGGATTCAGGACGGCTGGCCCAAATTCGTGGACGACAACCGCATCCGCGTCGGCGACGCCTGCGTGTTTGAAGTGCTGGACCGCGGGAGTAGGGGAACCAAAGTCAAGTTCGCCGTTCAGATTCTCAGGGGGAACGTCGCCGGCCGCGTTGGAGGGCGGCGGGCGTCCACGTCACGGGAGGTTGTTAATCCGGCGATTGGCACCGATCCCAACGATCCCATCATTCTGGGGTAGTTTGGGCCGCGTTAAATCCAATCTGTTCCTCTTTTTTTTTTTCCTTTTCCTTTTCCACAACAATGGCAACCTTAATGTTATAGGAAAAATCCTTTTCCAATTAGGATTAGGTTAGGGTAAATTATGCGAGAATGCAAATCCTTGTAGGATAAGGATGCCGTTTGGCCGTGGTAACGATTATTAATCCTATAAATATAATCGAACTCCGAGTTACCATAACCAATTTCAGTTCACTCAATTCTCTGCCGCCGGCCGATCGATCTACTTGCTTAAATCGCTCTTTCCGATACTCTCGCCAATGGCGCTCCCTACCTTCGCAATGGGGAGCTATGGGCTCTTGTTCAGAACCAAAGACGGTTTGTTCGACATCATCGACTCGGCCATTGCCGTCGCCGGTTCCCGCTGGCCGGACGAGCTCGAAGCCCTAAGAGGCCAGATTCTGAAGAAGTTCGATCTGGAGAATAAGGAGTTGTCTTCTGCTCCTGCGGTGGCGCCGCGTCAGCTGCAAGCCGCTCGGAACGGGGGAGAAATCTCTGCGGAGATCGTTGTTAGCAAGTCCAATCGGTGCGATGATGATGTCGATCGAGGAGGGCGGGTCAATATTGAGGTCAAACTGCGGCGGCCGAACAACTCTTCCGCGGAGGAAGCAGCAGTGGGAGGAGCGAGAGACAAGCCGAGGGAGTCTTCGTTACAGGAGAAGAAGAAAGTCGAAGGCGATCGGGTTCTAGGGTTTGCTAGTGAAGAGAGCGGGAGAGGCGCCGCCCTGCGGAGGAAAGAGGAGAGCTGCGTTGTAACAGGCGGTGGGGACATCAGGGGAAGAAGGGCTGAGGGGGCGGATGATTACCACCAGCGACGGCGCCGGTCGGAAGATTGGTACCACCGCGATCGGAAGAGAGATTATGAGCATCACGATAGGTATCACGGTGGCCGGTCTAAAGATGGGTATTACGGTGGCCGGAAGAGGAACTTCGATCACGACCGGCGGCGTTACTGTGATCGGTCTGAAGATGGGTGTTACGGCGGCCGCAAGAGGAATTTCGATCATGAGGAACGGCGTCACGAGGAGGAGTATTCGAGGAAGAAGCGTAGGATTGCGGAGGAAGCGTCTGCTACTACCACTGCCGGGAATCACTGAACCATCGAGTGATTCAGTACTCCCGCAGATTCTTGCTCTCTATGCGGCCAATGGATTGAAATTTGGGTCTGAAGTTGGTTTCTTAAGGACCAAAAACCCTTCAAGTTGCTGTAATTGTATGTTCCACAACACATTGTTGTTCACTGTTTTTAGTAGTCTTTCTGCTGTTAAGGAAGATGATGTACTGCAGAGTGCAGACTGACTGATTCATTGATTCGTTAATTGTGTTTATTCTTGTTAACTAATGAAAGATATGGCATTGCTAAGTATTAACAAACAGCAGATTGCCCTTTATACAGGTTTACAATTACAGTTTCGTGTCAGGATAGCAAATTATTGCAGCTACATCTAGTACAGAGGAAACTAAACCGAACTTAGTGATCGTTCATCATCAGGGGGCAAATCTAACTACAGGGCTTCCTGCTGAGACTGTTGAATCCATACGACAGCAAGGGTCACCAGCGATGCGAATATCGAATTCGGAACCTTCTGCACCACTTTACCAACATGTGGAACGCCTTCCGTGGCTCGCTTGGTTGCCATTGCAAGAGTTGGTGCCACAACCAAAGTGAGCAGAAGTCCCTGGCTGATCACCACAAATGTCTCTGCTGTTAGCTTCTGGATGAACTTGGCAAATTCTTCACGGTCAAGCCCCCCATCAAGGTTGATATCACATTCCTGGGTTTATATGATGAAAAAAGCATAGAAAGACATGTCATTTGTATGACAACAAAAATGTAGGTGTCTAAACCATGTTTCTTAAGACCAAGGATCCTGACAAATGTCTAAACTCTGAACCAATCCTGGAATAAGTAGCCGAGAAACCGACTACACAAACCCAATTGGATCCACCTTGCAACAAGAGACCGAGGAAGGTGTTGAACCTGGCATTGCAGGCACAACACCTCCACTACCACAGCTAACCTTCTTTGGTCTAAACTTGAAAGGCAGTTTGTTGTTCCTCTAGGTTATGAATCTAGGTCTATCAAACAGAACACCAACTATGTATTTACCTAAGTAGCACTTTAAATTGATGGTAGCAATCAAATCAGAGGTTTTTACATAAGAAGATGATCAGACTACCTTCACGATATCTAGGATGTGCTCTTTGGAGGGCGGATCGAAATGGGGGCCTGGCAAGTACTTGTTAATGTCACTGGAAAACAAAAGCAGAACAAATTAGTGAAACAAGTTGAGAATACTTTGAGAGTTTATCAAAGTAAGGATCAATTCAATCCCTTTACTTGAACACGAGTAGCACGGCAATATACAGATCGTCGAAAGTGAGAGTAGGCCGTCCTGTTTGATTACAAATTCGATCATAAACCCTGTCTGTTATACACTCCACTTGCTTCTTCTTCCACTCTTTACCTGCAGTAACATTGAACCCAGTTCGATTCCATTGTTGTCAGCTTATCAATTCTCATACAATCAATTGACCTTCCATAGATCGAATTTTAAGATTTCCCCACATATCCACACACAAAATCCAATGACGAACCCAAAGAAAATCTCGGGTTCCCACTGCAACGAGCACAGATTCAGAAACCGGGAAATCCCAGACTGAAAGGGGGAAACTTGGCCACAACCGGCGAAGGTTCGTGGGCGAGAATGAATCAAATGAAAGTAAGCAGAAAAGTTGAGATTGTGGGGGAGAGAAAAGGAAATACCATGGAATCTGTCGAGGATTTGGCCCATGGCGATGGCGTGCAGATGATGAAAAGAAGACGAGAAGCCTCGTTCTTTTTTCAACCCGGGGATGCAGAAGAAGAAAAGTGGAAAGTGGGGATTGGTAGAGTGCTGACGCGACGGGGATTTTGTGGATGATCGTTGTCTGCAAAGTAATCTTCTGTGGCTTGAACGGCACACAAGGTAGCTAGCTGCCAAGCTTGTCAGTGAGTGAGTCTCTGTGAGAATAATTGAAAGTAGTGACGATTTGTGGAATGATTTTCTTACTGATTTGTGCAGCAAAACTGCTGGTATATGTACAGAGGAATAAGAGCTACAGGACAAACAGATTCTAACTACCTTGTCCATCTAAAACGAGACAAGTGGCAGCTGGAGAATGGACAACTAAACTAAAAGAACTAATAATAAATAATACTATTTACTACTCTGTACGAAGTCGTTTTGCTCCTTCTTCTTCACTTCTTTCAGCAACGCGCCTCTTTCCCTTTTCTTCAATGTGACCGTTGCTGCTACAGGGGCCTCGAGCTCTTCTTCATCTTCTCCTTCTTGTGCTTTGTCCATGGAGTTCGACAGCCCCCCACAAGCTGGCGAGTATATATCATATACTCCCAGCTTGAACACTATCCACTTGAATCGATGTGCACTGAGACCCTTCGTGAAGATATCTGCCAAGTTCCGGTCAGTACACACATACTTCAAATCAATTAACCCTGTTTTCACCTTCTCTCTTATGAAATGGCAGTCGATTTCAATGTGTTTCGTCCTTTCGTGAAACACTGGGTTCTCTGCCATGTGAATTGCTGATTTGTTGTCGCAATATGCCAATGCTGGCCCTTTGTACTCCACTTTGAAATCACTCAGTATCTGTGTAATCCATTGAATCTCGCAAGACATCTGCGATAATGCCCTGTATTCTGCTTCTGACGATGACTTGGAAACAATTGCTTGCTTTTTCGCTTTCCAAGTGATCAATGAACTCCCCAAAAACGTACAGTACCCAGTAATCGATCTCCTTGTGTCAGGGCAAGCCCCCCAGTCTGAGTCGCTGTATCCTGTTAATGAGAAATCTGTGTTTGATGCGAAGAACAGTCCTTGGCCTGGGGAGTTTTTAAGATACCTTAGAATTCTGTGTGCTGCCTTGATATGTGAAGTCTTTGGTTGAGCTTGGAACTGACATAGCTGCTGTACAGCAAAAGCTATGTCAGGCCTTGTTGTTGTTAGATATCCCAATCTTCCAATTAGGGATTTGTAGTGATGTGGATCTTCATTGGGTTCTTCATCGTATCTTGACAGTCTTGTCTTCATGTCTGATGGTGTTCTACATGGTTTGGCATCAAGGAAACCTGTGTCTTTTAGCAAGTCCAAACAGTATTTCCTCTGACTGATTGTAATCCCACTGCTGCTTCTAGCTACTTCCAGACCCAGGAAGTATTTTAATTTGCCCAGATCTCTTACTTTGAACTTCTGTGATAAGAAATCTTTGGCTTCCTGAATGAGTTCTTCATTGTCTCCAGAGAATATCAAATCATCCACATACACCAATATTACTGCAATGCCTCTTCCATTCCTTTTTGTGAAGAGGGAGTAGTCTGATTGAGATTGAACAAAACCAAAACTGATCAATGCTTCTGTCAACTTGGCATACCATTGTCTACTCGCCTGTTTAAGACCATATAGAGATTTCCTTAATCTGCAAGCCTTTCCTTCCATTCCTTCAATGCCAAGTGGTACTTTCATGTACACTTCTTCCTCAAGATCTCCATTTAAGAAAGCATTGCTGATGTCCATCTGACTTAGGTGCCAGTATTTCACTGCTGCAACAGCCATCAATATCTTGATGGTGTTGATTTTCACAACTGGGGAGAATGTGTCTAGGAAATCTACTCCTGGAATTTGTGTAAATCCCTGTGCTACAAGTCTTGCCTTGAATCTTTCTATTGATCCATCTGCCAATAATTTTGTTTTGAAAATCCACTTGTTCCCAATCAATTTCTTCCCTACAGGACAGTCCACTATGTCCCAAGTATGGTTGGCTATCAAGGCCTTCAGCTCTTCCTTTACTGCTTCTCTCCACCATTCCTCTAACATGGCTTCTTGAAAAGTCTGTGGATCTTGAAGATTAGTGACTGCTAGAGAATGATGTTTGTGAGTCTGACTGAGTTGTGAAAAATCCATGTAGGATGATATAGGATACTTGCTCTGTGAATTGCCAACAAAGTAGTCCCCATGCCACACTGGGGGTTTGATGGTTCTGTCTGTTCTTCTTACAGGTTGAGGAGGTGGAGGTGAAGGAGAAGAAGACTGTGGATCTTCTTCCTGTGTTACTCCCCCTTCTCCTTCAGCTTCCACTTCATCAATGGACTCAGAATCATATGCATCCAGTGTGTCAAAGTGGATAAAACCAGGTGATACTGGAACAGAATTAACATCATGAATAATTGGACTTAGACCTGAATGCAAATGATCTTGTGCTGGGGAATGGTTAATGGTTTCTGGGAAAAGGGGTGAAGTGGCTGAAGGAGAAATGTGGTTTGAGGTTGCTGGTTGAATAGGACTTTGATTGGTTGAAAAAGGAAATATTGTTTCATGGAAAACAACATCCCTGGAAGCAAACACTCGCTTGGTGGTTAGATCATAGATCTTATACCCTTTGATTCCTGGCAGAATGCCAATGAACATTCCTTTGCGAGCTCGTGGTTGGAATTTGGTTCTGCCACTCTCCAAAGTAGCAGCATAGCATAGGGATCCAAAAACTTTAAGTGGAGAATAGTCTGGTGGTCTGTTGTACAGTTTTTCAAATGGAGTTTTATTGGCTAGGATAGGTGTAGGGAGTCTGTTTAGGATGTGAACTGCATAAAGAACACAGTCACTCCAGAAGGTTAAAGGAACATGTGATTGGAACTTAAGAGCACGAGCTATGTTTAAAATATCTTGATGTTTCCTTTCAACTCGTCCATTTTGTTGTTGTCTTTCAACACAAGACATTTGGTGAGTGATGCCATGGGTTCTATAATAGTCTGCCATATGGAACTCTTGTCCCTGATCTGTTCTGATGGTTTTGATTGGTTTGTCAAACTGTTTTAGGGTCATGGTGCAAAATTGTTGTAGAATAGGTCTGGCTTCTGATTTGTTTTTCATAAGGTAGACCCAAACAGCCCTTGAGAAATCGTCTACAATGGTTAGGAAATAAGAAAAACCATCATAAGAAGTGGTAGCAAGTGGCCCCCAAATGTCACAATGGATGAGCTCAAATGGTTCTTTACAACTGTTTAGGCTAGGAGAAAAAGGAAGTTTCTTCTGTCTTGCATAATGACAAGTTTCACAGTGGCTAAGAGTACTCAGGGGAATCTCAGGATTACATTTCTGAAAGAGTTCAGTTCTAGAATTAGAAATGTGTCCTAATCTAGCATGCCACAAATGCATGTCTTCACTCTCAGGTCTGCTCACTGCTGCTACTAGGCTGGAATTTGTTTGATTGATGTCATTGGTTTGGAGTTGGTAAAGTCCTCTAAGCTCTCTTGCAAAACCAATCTTCTTCTGTGTATGAAGGTCCTGAACAACACAGAAGTCAGATTGAAAGTTTAGGGTGATAGGAAGGGATTTGGTCAGGGAACTGACAGAAATGAGATTAAATGTAAAACTGGGAACATGTAATACATTGCTTAGGGTGAGGTTGTGGTTGATTCTGACAGTCCCTATGTGCTCTACCTTGACTCGAGAACTGGTTGGTAAGGTGACAAAAATGTTCTCTACTGGCTGGTAAGTTGTGAAAGAGGTAAGGGTGCAGCACATGTGATCAGATGCACCAGTATCTATGATCCAATTATTCAATAGTTCATTCTGTTTGTAACCAGTAAATGTGGAAAGAGTGTATCTACCTGCATTGTCTGGCATGTGATTGATGAACCTAGACACAGAGTGTGCCTGAGGTTGTATGTTAGGTTGATTCTGTGTAGGGGTTCCTGCATTTTGTTGTAGCAGCATCATCAGTCTGTTGCAGTCTTCAGGAGTTAGCTGAAGTGTGGTAGTGTTGTGGTTTTTGCTGTCCTGATCACCACTTCCAGCATATCCTGTGTTGCCTTGGTCTTGTCCTCCACTTGAAGTTGCTGCTGCTGCAAAATTTGGACCTGCAGGTTCTCCCCTCTTTCTTTTTAGTCTCCAGCAATCTGCTATCATGTGATTGTTTTTCTTGCAATAGTTGCAAAACAAATTCTGTTGTCCTGTTCCATTTCCTTCTGCACCTCCTCTCTGATTGTTGTTTGAGTAATTCCCTTGTTGGTAGTTTGGTCTTCCTCCTCCTCTAGGGTAGTCATTCCTAGGATAGTCATTCCTTTGTTCTCGTCCCTTTGCTTGGTTGGCAGCAGCTAGTGCCACTGAGTCCACACCAGTTGCTTCCTTTGCAGGTTGCTTAGTCATCTGTCTTTCCAACTTCAGTGCATACTTGTATGCTGACTTAAGGTTTGGTGCAGGATCCATCATAAGCAACTGATTCTTAGTCATTTCAAAATTATCATTCAAACCTATGATAAAATCAATGGTATGATCTTGTTCTTGTGAACCCTTAACTGCAGCATATGTAACACAGTTCATAGTATGTGGTGTATTTGCACATTCACAAGCAGGGATCGACTTAAATGACATAAATTCTGCCCACAGAACACCTAGTCTGTTGTAGTATTCTGTGACAGAGCTGTTGTGTTGTTTGCAGGAGGCTATCATTCCTCTTACATGAGCCAGTCTGACTGAGTCAGCTTCTCCATACCTTTCCTGTAAATCTTTCCAAAGATCCAACGCAGTCTCATTATCCATGACTGCTTCAGCAATAGGATCTGCTAAGGAGTTCAAGATCCAACCCATCACGTTGGTGTTACTCTGATCCCAGATTTCATAATCTGGATCTGTTGGCTGAGGCATAGGTAAGGTTCCATTCACAAACCCAAGTTTCTTCTTGGTTTTAAGCGCTATGCGCATTGATCTACTCCAGACATGATAGTTTGTCCCATCAAGTTTAACAGAGATTATACCTTGAGACAGGTTCTCATTTGGATTGACGTAATATGGGTCGACTGCCTGACGTTGTGGCTGAGGACCTTCAGTTGTTGCAGCTCGTGTTGCAGAAGAGGAATCTTCTTGGTAGGTCGCCATGGCGGCGCTTTAGAACAGGTTCACGAAACCCTAGATGAGGAAAGCCAGAGGCTCTGATACCATGAGAATAATTGAAAGTAGTGACGATTTGTGGAATGATTTTCTTA